GGGGGGGGGGGGTGCTCTACTGGCATTGACATGCCCGTGACAGCGTGGCATGAAAGCTACCGGAGTGTCACACACGGACCGGCCGATGACACACAGTAGGTTCTTTTCACTTCAAAAGACAAGACAATGTATTCTGTGAGCCTTAACCCTGCCCTTCACATTTTAAATATTTTAAAACATGCTTATTATTACTATCATTATCAGACTTGTTTAGCTCAACATTAATTTTGATCAGAGACAGTTTATCACTTAAGGGAAATCTTGCTTGGTCTATTCTCCAAGGCTCTAAAAAGATCAGCCCCAGAGGAATGTCAAACGCACATGCATCTTCCGGATGAGAGTGCCTGTGTGCCCACTTAGGAGAGGAAGCGAGTTCAACGGCACTTCCTGTTTCCCACAGCTTTTCGAATGCCCAGGGCCCCATGAACTCACAATGGCCATCTTCTAGCCTCTAGATGCCGAGTGTGCAATCGTGATAAAAATGTTCATTAGTGCTGACTAAAGCGTCAAGTGAACCCTCAATGCAAACAAAGTACACAACAGCCAACTCACTGCAATGATGTTGAAGAAGTCATCGTCCCCCAGCGTATCCAAGATGGAGGAGACCGTTTGCTTCGCAATGGTCAGACGGAGTCCTTTCATGCTGCCACTGACATCCACTAAAATGACCACATCTTTTGGAGAGGTGGCTGCCTGGATATACCTAGATCAGGAGAAAGTGAAGAAACATTGAACTCTATAAAGATTTCTTCTAGTGTTCGGGAAAAACAAAAGCCGGCATGCTGGCATGGCCTACCATTTTCGGTTCCTGCAGTCAAAGGCGATGACTCCATTTTCATCAGGCTCCCATTTCATCCCTAGGAGGAAAAAACGGGTTGTAAGAAGCCCAGAAACTTCAGCTGTCTATCCAGAGCTGCTTGCTTTTGCTGACTGAAGGAACATGATGAAAACTCACAAACAAAGATCAGCCCCAGAGTTCATCGTGTGCCCCACCACCAACCCCGGGAAGACACTTGTTTGTTCCCTTGCTGCAGAAAGCACAACCTAAGACTTCAGGGGCCATCACTCTGCTGGAGAGAGGAGAAGCATGTGAGAGTTGGGTCACTGAGCCAGAATCCACCGGGGGAAAGAGGGTCTGGTTTGAGGTCCATCAAGAACGGACAGCAGCCCAGCCCCTTTCCTCCACTACTGCGAGCTTCTGCAGCCCATTGCTGAGCCCTATCTCATCGTCCAAAGGCCACGAATCAGTGCTTCTCCCTCAGCATACACATGTCTGTTCAATCCCCATTCCAATTCTTTAACATCGCGAATTGTGGCTTTCCCTTCACACTGAAATTCAATAAAATGGATTTCTGTCTGCTAAAATATAAAGTTTGAATTTGGGCTTTGGAAGTCTGGGGGGTTGTCCTGGTGCATGAAACAGGGCTGCACAGCCTTCTCTTGGTTTATAAACTAGTCGAGGAATGGGAGGAGGGGATACAGGGAACTGTATAAGAATAATATGTTCTGAAATTGTGGTGATGATTGCACAAGTCTTAATATGATTAAGTTATATGATATGTGATGTATATGCCAATAAAATGATTTTTTAAAAGAAAAGTTATCAATTAAAATTGGTTAGGAAATATATAAGGGTTGTTTTCTCCATTGACAAATGAGCTCTTAAGAATAAAATATTTTGGCGAAGAACACTGATGGTGCCCAGCTATCAAAAAGTATAGCGTCTGGGGTCTTAAAGGCTTGAAGGTAAACAAGCGGCCATCTAGCTCAGAAGCAACAAAGCCCACATGGAAGAAGCACACCAGCCTGTGCGATCACGAGGTGTCCAAGGGATCAGGTATAAGGCGTCATCAGAACAAAAAATCTTACCATAGTGAATGATGGGGGAGTGCGGAGTGGAGACCCAAAGCCCATTTGTAGGCCACTGGAGATCCCCTTGCAGTGGGGTCTCAGGGAGGAGATGAGCCAGTCAGGGGGCGATGTAACAACGATGAGAAATACAACTTTCCTCTAGTTCTTAAATGCTTCCTCCCTCCCCCCACTCCCCCGCCTACACACACTATCATGACACGAATTCTACCTCGCAAGTCTGGCTAGACCAGAGGATGTACACTGGTACAGATAGGAACTGGAAACAGAGGGAATCCAGGGCGGATGATCCCTTCAGGACCAGTGGTGTGAGTGGCGATATTGGGAAGGTAGAGGGAGAGTGGGTTGGAAAGAGGGAACCGATTACAAGGATCTATATGTGACCTCCTCCCTGGGGGACAGACAACAGAAAAGTGAAGGGAGACGTCGGACAGGGCAAGAAATGACAAAATAATAATATAAAAATTATCAAGCGCTCATGAGGGAGGGGGGAGCAGGAAGGGAGGGGGAAAAAATGAGGACCTGATGCCGGGGGCTTAAGTGGACAGCAAATGTTTTGAGAATGATGAAGGCAATGAATGTACAAATATGCTTTACACAATTGATGTGTGTATGGATTGTGATAAGAGTTGTATGAGCCCCTAATAAAGCGATTTAAAAAAAAGAATAAAATATTTCATTGTAGATGAGATTCATTGTAGATAAGATTGTAGATAAGTTAAAAAAAACAGATACAAAGCCACCATTTTAAGTTACTGTTGCTGCTCCCTGAGGAAAGATCTGAAAGGTAGACTTTGGAGATTAAAACACAAACCAGAAAAACTATTTTCACAGGAGATAGTCTTGACTTCAATTGTGTCTCCAAGTTTCTTCTTCCCAAGTGACAATGGGCAGCTTTCTAAGCCCAGCTGTGCCTGTAACAGGAAGGTGCTTCAGCCTGTTGTTCTTCGGTGCCAGCAAGCAAATTCCACTCACTGTAATCTCTGTGTAACAGAAGAAACCCTTCCCGGTCCTGCACCATCCTTACAATGCCTCCTGGGTTTGAGCCCATCGTTGCAGCCACCATGTCAGCCCATCTTGCTGAAAGGCTTCCTCTCTTTACTGACCCTCTCCTTTATCCAGCACGATGTACTTCTCCAGGGCTTCAGATAATAGCCCTTCCCAAATCATGGCACACAAACTTTGAGAGGGCAGTTTGCCACCCAAAGAAATGTTCTGTTCTAACCTCTCGGTCACATCCTGCAATCTCCCCGCCTGCTGGGATCGGCAATTCCCAAGTGAAGATGTGCCAGTTTTTTTAAAATGGCCTGTAAGAAGCCAGAGAAAAGTACAAGACACTGCCAAATGGAGATCAATACTCAATGAAGAGAAAACATAATATTGCACCCTAAAGAATAAGTCTTTGATGCATTTTTAAAATGACACACTGTTTCGTAAAGCGAGTGGCAGTCTTGACCCCAAGTGTCATGAGATCCCTCGGGAGGAAAGGCACGTCCCGGACGTCCATCACTGAACAGTGGAGTTGAGTCCAATGAAGGGAGCTGGTTTCACTCTTCTGTGGTTTGTTCTTTCGAATGTGCTTCACGCAGGCAGGTGGCCAGTGGATATTCCTTAAATGAAATTGTGCCAGTGCTCTTGGATCACCATCATAACTATAATTGCTGACACTATTGATCATCCTAGCCCCTGCCATTGCTTTCCCCTACTACCAGCCAATTCATGTGGCCACCAAGGGAAACAGAGAATGCGTTGATTAAGGCAATCTCAATTTGTCTGGATTCCATATAACAGATTTGCAAATCTGCCTACTTGCTTAAATGGGTTGGTAATCCCAAATCAGTCTTTTCCATGCTTTCCTTTATAGGTACACACATGTGTATGATGGTTGGGTATTTGCTAACTCTGTTCATGGAAACATTATAGAAAGTACAAGCACAAATAATATGAATGCAATGTATTTTTTAAATCACCCTCAACACATAGAACAGGGCTTGGGGAGATGGAATTCATGATGCTTGGCCTCCTTTTGAATTGATACTATTGACCTGAGGATGGGTTAGGAGCCCCTCCCAGATGCTACTGAAACTTGATGCCTTTCCAAAAGTCAAGATGAAATGATTTCACTGGGGAATCTGGTAATAAATATACTTCCAGAGGGAACATGGACAAACGAGACATCCTTCGAGCCTTGCTGCCTACAGTAAAGGAAGGGCTTGGTTCTTTCTGCCCTCAAAAAGTCTCATTTCTAACAGGGAAACAGACACCAGCTGCTTCATTTCACAGTAAGGATTCAAAGGCTCTCCAAGGTAAAGAGATTTTACTGAAGTCAAAGCAGCAAGTGCACGGGCAAGGCTACAGCTTAGTCTCCCACTTTGCAGTCCACGCTCTCTGCCTTGCACAGCATTTCCATGCCCGTGCCCAGGATATCTTCTCGATGTTAACATGAGTGAGGTGGCTAAATGGGCAGCTGGATTTCTGCCCTGGGAGGAACATCTGAGGACCTGTAGTCTGCCCAAACCCATTTTGACTCTTTATGACAGAGGTGGCAAAAGCAGCATTTGCTAAGCCAATTGGACCTTTGAGATCTCCCTCCTGTGAGAATTAATCTCTCTCTCTCTCTCACACACACACAAAAGTATTTTAAGAGACTCATTTCAGAAAAACCCAGCCCCAGGTGGTACTGTCCCCTTCAAATCAATATATAAGTTTACTACTTTTTCCAACAAGTGGCTATTTTGAAAATATTCAAGCAATTTCAAAATTCAGTGAAAGAATAATTGGTTCACCTCAAATCTTCAAGATACAGGAGGTGCTACTTCATCAAGAAGCACACCCATGAGCCACATGCTTAGGGAAGTCCCTCTTGGCATCCCACCCAGGCTGGACAGGGCAAGAAACCCAAGCAAAGGGAAGTGGTGCAGCTCAGCAGTGGCTGCCAGCAGCCTTCCCACTGCCGTGTGCTCCGCTTCATTCTCAGCACGAGTGACTGCCGGCCCCACGGCATCTACTCTCAAGGCACAGGGCCTCCAGAAGTGCTGGCAGAGGCCGAGGTGAAACTGAAATTAATGTCAAATTCCAATGTTCAAATTGAATTGCGGTTTAAATTATTGTGCAACCCCTACATACCATAGGGCTTGCCTTTACCATGGACTGGAAAAAGATGATTGGAAGGAACATAATTCATCGACAGCAGTGTGGGTCCCTGTCGCCCACCATGCTTTGAGGCTGTTTCTGCTTGACCTCTCATGTCCTTTTGAAAGTTGTGTCTCAGCAAACCCTAAGATGCAGTATGAACTCAGGAAAATGGTCTCCCTCATTCGGATGATTCTCTTGTCCTTGTCCCATTTAAGACTTAATAATGCCCACGTTAAAATAAATAAATCAATAATAAAGTAAAATGGCACAATCCATGCTCTACTTTGGTATATAAAAATCAATAGTAGGTCCACTGAGCAAAATAGAACACAAAATTATCTAAAGGTTCTGTCACACAGCATAAGTCCATGAGGCAAAAAGGTTTAAGACTGTCTGACAGAAAGGGGAAAGATGATACCAAACCGCACAACTCAAAGCCAAGTGTTGAAAAGTTAAGTACATGTCAATGAAACAATTTGAAAAATTATAAACTCTAAATATTCCAAAGATTGTTTTCTCCTCTGGATTTATTTCTGTCTAGCTCCAATCTCCCCGTTTCTCTGCACTGGCCAAAGGATGTTATAGTCCATTGCTTCTCTGCTCTCTTCAGTGCAAAATCCTTTCCATAAAATTAACCTGGCATTGCCAATGGCATTCAAATTCTAAACAAAGCATTTCTAAAGCCCTCCACTGGAACAGACACGATCTCTTGCAATATGGGCTTTCCATTTTCACCCCTCTGTTTGATAGCAAAAAATCCAGAAGGAAAGGAAGGAATGTCCAGAGGTAGTACATGCTGGATGGCTTAAAACTCAATGGGTTTTGACCAATTCCTTCCTGGGAAACACTGTAT